CAATAATTCCAAATTGTTTTCTAAACACGAAAATCGGCCTTTTATGGTGAAGTACACATGCCATTCAGTTGGCTGGACAATTCTGACACCCCGAAGGGATGGGAGGCAATGGGTATGGCCAGAAGGCCCTACCCCGAAGGCACATGCACGAACTGCAGGAGTTGACGAGGTCGTGCAATTCACTGCACATGGAAACAACTCTTCGATCTCTGTGCCTCCGCTCAAATCGTTCATTACATTAGCCCTTACAATCTCATGCGTACATGCGCTTCTCAATCCAAACATTTTTGACCCCTAATGGGTAAGCGAAATAGTACAGCGCAATCTCGGCTTGTTAACAGCCAAATTGACATCTTAAGTGGAGTTCTTGCCTGTAGGTAAGATGGTGCCGCTCTGCACCAACCACCGACTTGAGGCAATTAACCAATAAGGTGGAATCAGCTCAAGATCTCTATTGGCCGTGTTTGTGACGGAATGAGTGGTCGGTTTTGTGATAGACTTGCACAAGTTTGGGAACATTGCTTATCTATGCAGCCTTTGGAGAACGGTGCACTCCCTGCGAGGGAAGGAACTCATGTGCCACATTCACTGTCGAAGAGTGTGGTCTGCCACTCCTCCACCATTTGATATTGCGAAATGATTTCGAAAGGCTTTTGCACTCCCTTGTACTTCCCACCTATTTGGCCTCGGCGTTTTTGGCGGCTGTGTATGGGCAGTGTGATGGTGTTCTTCATCAGAGTGTTTGACTTCACTCTGTGAAGGCAGGGCTGGCATGGAGCACAAGGGAAGGCTGATGGAATGGTCACAAATGAGGTGGAGGTCATGTTATTGACCTTTGAGGGGTCATGAGTCACCACGTGAGTAGACCGTTTGTCGGGTTAGTCAGCTAGACAAGTTAGTGTAAGACAATCAAATTTTAGCGAAATAGCGAAAGCACGATTGTCTTCGAGTGTCAAGATATGGAATTTGTTGTTATTGCCGACTATGATGGCATGTGATGTGGGTGGCTGACCAGGATGTTTTGACACTCTGGTACTCATTGCACGTGCGTCTGACTTCCATCGACTCAATTTTCTAAGTGTTATGCAAAAGGTATTGTGAGCATGTGGCTTGTAAATTTGTCGCTCTTGGAGACAATAATTAATGCAAATAAAGGATTTGTGAAAGCGTGTTTGGTTTCTTATAAACAACATGGGAATGAAAGTTGAACAAAA